ACACAACTCAGATGTCAGCATATTTTGGGAGCCTTTCCGGATTACCCCACTCTCCAATGGAGGGATACGTACATGTATACAATTCTGGTTATCCTGCACTTACCTGGCCTAATGTGTTCAGGTGTGTGATGGGAGCTGGTTGAGAGCAGAGATGCTGTCCAATGGGCTCACTGTCCCCAGGAGAGCATCTCGCTTATAGGTCTCCACAAACATTTGTTGGAATGATTGGAATATCCAGAATCATTTTGAGTTGATCCCCATAGTTGAGTTTTATAGGAAAATTATATGGAAATATTCTAACTTTGGTCCTAAATTTCCCAGATGCGCTTCCTGAACTGTAGAAATGGGCGGAAGGATCCTTCCAAGTCTATCTTGGATGTGGGTGTAGAAGAAGCTATAAAATTCAGTGGCTTTGATGAGAAGATGTTTCTAAAGCGAGGAGGGAAATACGTATGGAGCAAGGCAGACCTGAAATTAGACTGGTGAAGTTGGACTGGTGAAGCTGGAAGCTGGACCACCCTTTGCCCACCTGTGGGGACCACCTTGTGACTCAGTATGTGGCTGCCCCCTTCTGATGGGCACTTCTCAGGGGCCCCAAATCCTACTTTCAGTTGCACATGGAATCTGGTTGTCTGTGGTAATTGAACACACACAAATAACTTAGATCATTGAAATCTGTAGTTCATACAAGACAACTAACCTTAGTTAATTAGCTTACTTTGCATTTAATGTTTGAGTGTGACCCCTGTGTTTCCATTTTGGAGTTGTTTTCCTAGTCCTTTCAGTTGATAGTTATTTTCCCATCTGGAAAAATTAGGAAGTCTCTCCACCTGTGGGGAGGCTTTTTACTTCTCAGTCTTTATATCATTGCAACCTTGGACATTTAACTAGAAGTTGAGAAATAGTCCATACATATTTCAAAAAATAAGAAATGCTCATCTTATCAGGCTTTGATGAGACCCAGAAAGAGATAATCTGTAGCCCACACTGACTATTCCAGGAATGTGAGCCATCTCCCCTTTGTTCTCCAAGATTCTTAACAAAACTGAGGTATGCTTTACGTTTCGTGATGGAGTTGACACGGGGTCAGGGCTTGGGTTGCCGTGTGGATCTTCTGAGCCTGCAGGCAACGACACTGTTGATTTGCTTGGTTGTCTGCACATCACTGGAAAGTGACCGTTCCCTGGGTTGGCATGATCCCGTTAGCAAAGGCACCAGGTGACCGTGGAGCAAGGGATGGAGACTGGACCTGGCTTTCCTGTGAATAAAGCTGCAGCACAAAGCTACTATTTCCCATTTAGCTCTGAACCACTTGAAATAAGAATGTGATCTAGGGCAATGTGAGAAAGTTCCAGAGCCTTCTCTTGGTGCTAAGAGCTCGAGGAAAAATGTCACTTGAATTGGGTCAAGAAGCAAAACCCTCTTCTCGTGGAAATACCACGTGAACTTTATTCATGTAACCTAGACACTATCCCATTGCCTGGGAAGTAATAATTTCCTATCATTGCTCTAAAAAGTCAAAATCATGGACAATTTTTTGCTCAAAGAACTCTTTGATTAATAATCCGGCTGCCGTTTTGGCCACTAGATGGCATCTAAATGTTGCCTGATTCTGTTAAGCCCCCATGTAGAAATTCTACTTCAGAATCTTTTTTTCAAGACTTGCTGATTTTGAAAGTTTGGTTTAAGTGATTGTTTTTTCCCTCAAAAAAGATATCCCTACTTCAAATATTAAGTCACTGTGATTCAGATGAAATATGAAGTGATTTTTCTCAATCTGAGGGAAACTACATTTCTCTTTCCCCAAAGAATATAAAGTAAAACATTGCACTTGAGAAAAATGAAAAAAAAAAATGTATATAAAGAAAAAAACAATAAAATTAAAAATACAAAAACTGAAACAAAAAATTAAAAAAACAGAAAAATGAAAAATAAGCTATTTTAAATACATTTTCCAGCTGTTTTTACAGCACCACCCACTTCCTTATGCACTGACAGAATTTTCAAAGTCCTAATGTTTAAAATATTCAAGTGTTCATTTTTCTTTAGCTAGAGAAGTAGCATTAGAGTAAATTTCAAGCTTGGATTATATAACATTTTGCTTTATATTTTCAGTTTTTAAGTATTTAATGTCCATTTTGTGAGACATATTTCTTTTTATTAGGAAAATAAAATGTAATTTCAGTGAGGTATCTCCATTTAAGTCTTAAAGGCAAGTATTTTTGTGGTGCTTTCAATTACTGCTTGGTTAGGCTGTGACAATAGGAATGGAATTTTGTCTTAGGAAACCTGGAAAGACTGGACATTAATAACAGCATGCTGGTGTACAAAGTATGAACCTAAAACATCTGGTGACAGTCTGGAGTTTGGAGTCTAGTTCTTCGATCAAGAAAGAGAATCATGATATAAAACAGGTAGACAATTCTCCATGAGGTTCCATCAGAAAGTAATTCATTGCACAGGCAGCTCTCTTGTTGAAAGGACTATTTCATACCTCATGATTAGATGAAGGCTACCCACACCATAAGCTTTTAAGACTTTGTCCTGAGTGTGTTTCGGACATCTTAGTTTTAGGGAAATATATGTATATATGTTTACTTTTTCTCTGTGTGGGATGCTCTTGTCTGCTGGTCTGTTGTTTTGTAAGATGTTGTAAATAAAGTAATTTTCGTACACTACCTTCATTCTCAGTGGGTCAATGTAATGAAGTCTCTCCTTGGTGTGTGTTTAAAATAATTGCAGGCTTTTACAAACCACCATTGCTAAAGGCAAATACACTATAAAAATCAACAAAGTTACCAATAATTAATGAGCACATTTCAGACAGCCCCACTGGCAACAAGATGGAGCAAAGAAGAGCCACTGGGGAAAGTACTCCCCCTGTTTTAAATGAAAGCCAGCATCTCGGGGGCCTGGTGTCCTGAACTTGATCCCCTTGGAAGGAATGAATTCCTCAGATAGGCAGCAGGAATAGCAGCAGCCCAGGCTACACGTGGTCGCAGAGCCGCTGTTTTGAATATGACAGGGTGCACAGTCTGCAGAGCGGGCGCCTGGCACCCAGAGTCCCAGGTGGCATGGAGCTGCTCGGAGGACCCGGTTCTGAGTTGCCCACTCGGTCCCCGCCCCTCAGATGCCTCAGGCCAGGCCTGCCTCTATTCCTCCCCCAGCCTGACTTCCCCCTCCCATGTCTTCCCAACTCTTGAAGTCAAGAGTTCTACACCCCCAGCTCCAACACCCACCTCACACCCTCCAGACTTGGACTGGCCCTTCTTAGACACGGGGCATTTTCTCAGACATGTCCTTGCATTTAATCTTCAGTTGTAAGTACTCACTTCTTGAGCTTTCCTGGTGGCTCAGATGGTAAAGGCATCTTCTTGCAATGTGGGAGACCCGGGTTCGATCCCTGGGTAGGGAAGATCCCCTGGAGAAGGAAATGGCAACCCACTCCAGTACTCTTGCCTGGAAAATTCAATGGACGGAGGAGCCTTGTAGGCTACAGTCCATGGGGTCGCAAAGAGTCCAACATGACTGAGGGACTTCACTTTCACTTTACTCACTTCTTCAGGAAGGATATGGCCTCGTTATCTTTGCCCACCCTGGACTTGTCAGGCCAACCCTGGGCTCCAGCCCCCAGGACAGGGATCAGATCCAGGGGCTTGAGGACAGTGAAAGAGACTCAAGAGGCAGCCCAAGTCATCCAGCCTTGTGGCCGGGACATGGACAGCCATGTCTGGGGGCACAACCCAGCGTCAAGTCTCTGCCGGCGTCTGCTGTTCCAGTCAGTGGCAAAGAATGGGAAATTCCACAGAAAGCCCACATAGCAAGTTCAACTCAGATGCCATTGAGTTGGGTTTGAAAGATGAGAAAGGCTTTTTAACCACATGTTCCCCCCATGATTCTAAGACGAAAAAGCATTTGGAGAATATTTGAGAAACAGAATACAGCAAAATGAAGAAAATAAAAATTACCCATAATTACAGTGGCCAAGAGGCAACTGCTAGTTCATTTCATGCATATTTCCAGTAATGCATATTTTTTAATAGAATTGAGTTCTTACTCAATTTTATTTTCCACATAGCTTCTGCAGGATTGTAAAACCAACGAGCATTCTTATACTTTAATGAGAACAGCCAGTTCTTAACAATTCACTCAAAAAGATGAGAAGAGATTCAATGGTATCCTAAAAACCGCAGTTAATTTGAAGGAAAAAAAAAAAAAACCCACCAGATTTGGGTTTTGAATTGTTTACAAATTTGATTAGGAATGTGAGTGCAACTCTTGTTCTGGGAATTCACTTTATCTAGAAAATATACATGTAATAATAAAAACAAAACTTCTCTGGGCAAACTCATTCCTGGAGGATCTGGGGAAATGCCCATAAGTGATTTATTATTTTAACTCTGGCCATCTCGGCTTGCCCTTGTCTGATTCTACCCTCAATTCCCATGTGTGAGTTTTTTCCACCCCAGCAAACAATTTTCCCATATCAGCGTGATGTCCTACAATGCAGCTCAATTCTGACACTCTTTACCTGGAGGTAGCATCAGATCCAGGTGGCACTAGTGGTAAAGAACTCGCCTGCCAGTACAAGAGACATAAGAGGCTCAGGTTCAATCCCTGGGTCGGGAAGATCCCCTGGAGGAAGGCATGGCAACCCACTCCAGTTTTTCTGCCTGGAGAATCCAACGGACAGAGGAGCCTTGCGGGCTACAGTCCATGAGGTAGTGAAGAGTCGGATACAATACCATAGCACACACACAGCATCAGATCCTATGGGTTAGGGGCTCAGTTCCACCAGAGGGCACCTTACTCTCCCACCCCCAATACAGATGCCTATCACAACTGCAGGTTATCACCTGTGCTTCTCACTGACTGACCAGCTATATTGAAGGGTCCAGACCTCCCTCCTAGGGTTGGATTAATCTGCTAGACCAGCTCACAGAACTCAAGAGAAACACCGTACTTACTAAGTTACCAGTTTATTACTTTATTAGGAAAGGATGCAGTTTAGGAATAGCCGCTGGAAGAAAGAATTGCACAGGCTGAGGTGTGGGGGAAGGGCAAAGAGCATGTGTGCCCTCTGGAGGGGCACCAGTCACTCTGAATCTGCACCTGGTCACCAACCCGGAGGCTCTTTGACCCTGGTCCCTTTGGGTTTTATGGAGGACTCACTCTGTAGCATGACATCACTGGTCACTGGTGATTGCACTCCCCCTTCTGGAGGTCTGAGGTTGGAACTGAAAGTTCTAACGCTCCAATCACATGACTGGGTGTCCTGGCAATCACCCTCCACCATCAGTGGCCTAGGGCCTGCCCAAAGCCTGCTTTGTATCACAGCAAAAGACCTCTGTATTCATGTCATTGAGAGAGACTGGGACCTGGAACCAGGAACCCTTTGCCCCCCTCCCCGAGAGCTTGCACTTGGACCAATGTCTCCTAGGGCAACAGGACGTGAAGAAACTAAAAGGGGCTAAAAGCAACTGAGCACTTGCACAACTGGGGCAAGCGATGCACACAATACACAAAGGCCAAAATCCAGATGCTACTTCTGGAGCTGGGGGAAAAAAAAGGACTATCCTGTGCGTGACCCCTGCAGGCAGCAGCCCTAAAGGGTGCACTGACCATCTAAGCCACCCCCTCCTTCCTGATCCACCCGTCTGCCCCCATCCTCACCTTATTTAAGGGACCAGCTCGCCCCCTTTGGGGAGTGAACAGGGAACTTGTTACTTGTCTTCACTCCCTCCTGCTGCAGCACGAGTCCCAGTAAAGCGTCACCTGAATTCCTCATCTGGCCTCTCAGCAATTTCTATTAACTAGAGTCTAGGAACCTAGGTCAGTACCATCATCACTTAGGAAATTCCATGGGTTTTAGGAGCTCTGCACTAGGAATGGGGGTGAAGACCAAATATTCATTTCTTATAAGAGTGCCAAAGAATTGATGCTTTTGAACTATGGTGTTGGAGAAGACTCTTTGAGAGTCCCTTGGATGACAAGGAGATGAAACCAATCCATCCTAAAGGAAATCAGTCCTGAATATTCATTGGAAGGACTGATGCTGAAGCCGAAACTCCAATACTTTGGCCACCTGATGTGAAGAACTGACTCATTAGAAAAGATCCTGATTCTTGGAAAGATTGAAGGCAGGAGGAGAAGGGGATGACAGAGGATGAGATGATTGGATGGCATCACTGACTCGATGGACATGAGTTTGAGCAAGCTCCAGGAGTTGATGATGGACAGGGAGGGCTGGCGTGCTACAGTCCATGGGGTCTCAAAGAGTTGGACACAACTGAAAGACCGAACTGAACTGATAAAGCATAATGTCTCACCTTGAATCTCTCTGAGTTCTGTGTCTGAGGAGACTGGCTTCTACTGGTTAGTTCTCTCTTGGGGTTTGCTTTGCAGTGAACTTTGCTAGAACTCCTCCCCATAAGTTGTTACAAGATGTGTGTGTGTGTGTGTGTGTGTGCACGTGTGCGTGAAGGGGGAGCTGTGTATTTGTCGCTCCTTCCAGCATAACTCAGATGTCACTTGACTGCAGTCTTATCTGCACTGCCCTGACCTGCGGCATGTCAGCTCTTGCGGCCTTAATAATTCACCACTGACTGGGAGCCCCGCAAACAACAGACATTCATTTCTGAAGGCTGGAAGCCCAAAATCAAGGTGACAGCTGATCCGGCTGCAGGTAACGAGTTCCTGCTGGCCTGCCCTCACGTGGCAGAGAGGCCACCGGTCAGTAAGGCTGGGGAGGGCTCCCAGGGCTCCAGGCTCTGACAGGGGCTGCTACCCACGCCTCTCCACTCCCAGGAGACCCCGACTCTGTGTCTTTGGGATTTGCTCGGTTGGTGTGTGCTTGTTTGCTAGAGTCCGTGGCACCTTCTCTTAATGATAAGATGTTGTGATTGTGTGTCTTCTTTCACGGAAATAAGATGTGGCCTTACCCCGAGATCCTGTGATCAGACGAGATTCTCAGAAATACAGCCTGATATCTAACATTCATACACAGATATGACATGGGAGAGGAAGGAAAAGGGGAGCTAGAGAATTGATACAGATCTTCATACACATGCAGAAGGCAGAGGAGGGAAGAGGAAGCTGAGTTCTTCCATCCTAACTCGGCGATCAGTCCTGCCTTTTGCTGGGGCCACAGACACAGAGGGAGTGTGGGGAGTCTGAGAGGTCAGACACCCACCCTGATCCAGACAGAGTCACGGAGGAGACATCAAAGCAACAGCCAGGAACCGAGTTCCAAAATATTAGAAGAGGACCCCAGACTGTCCAGGGATAGAGTACTTCAGGGGATTGAATAATCTCCTTAAAATAAAGTAGCTTTAAAATCATAGCAGAGTAAATCAGGGAAATCAGGGCTTTTCAGGATGCACAGTGGTAAAGAACCCACCTGCCAATGCAGAAAACGTGGGTTTGATCCTCGGTTGGGAAGATCCCCGGCAGAGAAGGGCAAGGCAACCCACTCAAGTATCCTTGCCTGGAGAATCCCATGGGCAGAGGAGCCTGGCGAGCTACAGTCCCCAAGGTCACAAAGAGTCAGGCATGACTGAGCGATGAGCACGCACGCACAAAGAAATCAAATGGTTCTTAGAGGCAAACAGAAACAAAAGTCTCCAAAGGTCTCTCCCGCTCTGTTTAGGGGCCTTCACACTATCCCCCCAGTTTTATTCTTACTCCCAGTTTCCCCAGAACTGTCCATCCACAGGTGGTACCCAAGGCCCTGTGGATCCGGGCTCCCAGGACCCACCCCCACCCTCACTTCCAGTCTTCACCAAACCAGATGAACCTCCTGATGACCCCTGGCTCAGTCTGTGTGGCTGTGCTGGGCTCCTCCAGCGCGGCCCTGTGCCGGGGGGTCAGCCCCCCAGGGAAGCTGGCAGGATGCTCTCTGAAGGGGTCCCAGGGAGAGTGGGGAGCAGAGAGCCTGGGATGAGGCTGAAGAGAGCTGCAGTCACTGGGACTCTTCGGGACAGTCTGGAGTTAAGGCAGCTGGGCAGGCCTTAACTCCCAGCGGACCAATTATTACAAGTGCTGCCTCCAGAAATCTGGGTGAGGCAGCCTTCTCTGGCAAAAGATGATTCCCAGGAAGTGAGCCGTTGATACTTGGCACGCCAGCCGCCCAGGGTGTGCGCTCTGGTTCCTTAGGCAGGTCTGGTCAAGGCACCACAGCACCGACCTGCCGAACCTCACCCAAGCCCTATGCAGTGGACGGAGCAGCCATCCCGCACACCCTCAGCCAGTATTTTAATGACCTGTAAGACTTTACAGGTGGCTTCTCTGGTGGCTCAGCTGGCAAAGAATCTGCCTGCCATGCAGGAGACCTGGGTTCGATCCCTGGGTTGGGAAGATCCCCTGGAGAAGGGAAAGGCTATCCACTCCAGTATGCTGGCCTGGAGAACTCCATGGACTGTATAGTCCATGGGGTCGCAAAGAGTCGGACACGACTGAGCGACTTTCACAACCAAAAAAAGACGTTACAGCACATGGTCACGCCCTGATAAAGGAACTCCTCGTGGTGTTGCCTTCTGCCTCTCTGATCCTCAGTTTCTTTCAGGTTTTCATGTTCTCTGACAGCTGGCCGCCTGCTTCAAATGGGGGTTCCTCTAAGACTTGATGACTTACACTCCTTCCCTGGCACTGTGCTTTGACTTGCCCTGAGATCCAGGAGTGACTGGTGACTCAACAGCTCAGTGGGTCGAGAAGCTGCCTGCCAATGCAGGAGACGCAGATTCAATCCCGAGGTCGGGAAGATCCCCTGGAGGAGGAAATGGCAACCCACTCCAATATTCTTGCCTGGGAAATCCCATGGACAGAGGAGCCTGGTGGGCTACAGTCCATAGGGTCATAAAGAGTTGGACATGACTTAGGGCTTCCCTCATAGCTGAGTCGGTAAAGAACCTATCTGCAATGCAGGAGACTTGAGTTTGATTCTTGGGTCGGGAAGATTTCCCTGGAGGAGGAAATGGCAACCCACTCAAGTATTCTTGCTTGGAGAATCCCCATGGACAGAGGAGCCTGGTGGGCTACAGTCCATGAGGTTGCAAGAGTTGGACATGACTGAGTGACTTTCACTACACATCACTAGTGACTAAACAACAACAAAAGCAGTGTGTAACAAATGCACAAGTAAGTATAGATTAGACTCCCATAGCTTAACACAGGAGTGTATGTCTCCTGGGAATTGTCCTGACAGGGGATAATCCAGGGACTCAGGCTGACCTCGCTCTACAGTCCAACCACGGCAGTGGGTGACTGTGTGGTTACTGTAATGGGGACCGGCCAGACCAGTTAGAGGTCTTGAAATTCCTCTCTCTGTCTCAGCCCAGAAGTGACAGTCTTGCTGACTGTTTAGTGAACAAAATGAGTCACATGCCCCTTCCTAACTGCAAGGAGCTGGGACCTGTGCAGTAGCATATGGGTATTCAGTGAGCATCAACTTTCTGCCCATAGGTAAGTCCATCTAATATTGAATATGACTTAATCACTCCTTGAGAGTTGGGAAAACCTGTTAGAATTCTGTCAAGCCACAAGGGTCATATCCTATTGATTATTCCAGAAAAGCAATATAGTAAAACATGAAAATAACCGAATTGGCCAAGAACCTTGAGTAACAGCAAGTAACAGCACCATGTATGTCACTAGTTGGCAGTAATCTTGGGAACTTCAAGGACCACTTTCAACCTTAGTGTTTCTATGTGTGACATGAAAAGAAAAGATGAGATGAAACTTTCTCTCTGGTTTAAATGTTTATGTGGCATCTGTAGCTTTTGCATCTGAGCCACGTAGAAGGACAAGTTAGCAGAGAAGCCTGGAAGACAAGATGCACCTATTTTATTCACCAAATATGTATTAAGTGCCCAGAACCTGTTCTTACTGTGCTGGGCTGAGTGGCGAACAAGACAGAAAATGTCTCTATTTCTTGAGAGGTGCCAGAAAAATATTTTTGCTCTTTTATTAGCATGGAAATCTTCTATTAGCATACTCTACAGCTTTTGTATGATATTTTAATTTTTGCTATGAAATTATTCTCTAAATTATGGTCACACATGGGCATTGTGTAGCTGTTTTATTTAGTGAGCTGGGGGTTGCTGAAACAAAATACTACTGGCTGAGTGGCTTAAACGATGGAATTTTACTGTCTCACACTTACAGAGGCTAGAAGTCTGAGATTAAGGGGCCAGCAAGGTCTGTTCCTCCTGAGAGCTGAGAGGAACCTGAAAGCTGTTCCAGGTCTTCTCCTAGCTTCCGGGGGTCAGGTGGAATGTTCACTGATGCTTAATTTATCTCCATAAATTAATTTATCTCCATCCCTTCATGTTCCTAGAGTGCCCCCTTTATGTACCTGTTTTGAAATTTACCCTTTGTTTTTTAATATTTGTTTCTACTTATTTATTCAGCTAGGCCAGTTCTTAGTTGCAGAACTCAGGATCTTTAGTTGTGGCATGAAAACTCTTAGTTGTGGCTTGTGGTACCTAGTTCCCTGACCAGAGGTGGAACCCAGGCTACCTGCATTGGGAGCAAGGAGTCTTAGCCACTGGACCCCCAGGGAAGTCCCTTGAAATTTACCCCTTGTATGAAGACACCAGTCATAGTGGATTAGGGCCCACTCTTCTCCAGTATGTTCTCAGTTCAGTTTAATTCAGTCGCTCAGTCGTGTCTGACTCTTAGCAACCCCATGGACTGCAGCATGCCAGGCCTCCCTGTCCATCGCCAACTCCTGGAGTTTACTCAGACTCATGTCCGTTGAGTCTATGTTCTCATTGCGTGAGAATGTCCTCATCTGAACTAATTCCATCTGCCATGACCCTATTTCCATACGAGTTCATGTCAGGAAGTGGGGAAGGCTAACACTCCAACCTGTGAATCTGGAGACACAATTCACCCCTGAAAGTGAAAGTGAAAGTCGTTCAGTTGTGTCTGACTCTTTGCCACCCGATGGATCTACAGTCCATGGAATTCTCCAGGCCAGAATACTGGAGTGGGCATCCTTTCCCTTCTCCAGGGGATCTTCCCAACCCAGGGATCTAATCCAGGTCTCCTGCATTGCAGGCAGATTCTTTACCAGCTGAGCCCACCAGGGAAGTCCTATGGAAGATTGAGGGCAGGAGGAGAAGGGGGCAGTGGAGGATAAGATTGTTGGATGGCATCATCAACTAAATGGGTATATGTTAGAGCAGACTTCAGGAGATAGCGAAGGACAGGGAAACCTGGCATGCTACAGTCCATAGAATCACAAAGAGTCAGACATGACTTAGTGACTGAAAAACAACAAGGCTGGGAAAGAAAGAGGGGAGGTGTTTGTGGGAATGGAGGCAGGGGTTGGACAAGAAAAGCTTTCCTAAGAATCCTCGAGAGCAGCAGAGACTTTGCATCGCCCTGGGAGGTGAGAAAACTTGCAGTTTTCTGGCCCACCTGGGAAGCTGGGCCCCTGGAAGAGAAACATGTAGCCTGCTTGGAAGGGACTGCAGGGCTCAGGAAAGAGCCTGCTAGATAGACAGGGAGATGGGCTGAGCATGAAGGGTTACACTCTGGATCCAAGCACCATAAAATCCCCCAGGGACCCGTGGGCCTCCAGGAAAAGACAATCAGAGCAACAGCTGACATTTAATTGCCTGCTACTCTCCAGAAATAGGGAACTGAATTTAAGGCAATTTTAAAAACTTAAAAAAAGTGAATGTTCTGGACTTCAGAATGTGTGATTATGAACCCATGCAAACTCTACTGCTTGAAAAGGTTTAAATTTAAGCCACCGAATGAATCTTGATCTTCAGTTTTGTAGCTAGAGAAGGAACTTCCTGATGGACTTCATTTCTCCAGCATCTGGACCATTTGCTGGGGCACTGACTCCCTGGCAACAACCTAGCACAAAATCTTGCCCTCAGTAGGTTATCATCAAGGGGGTTCTTCAGAACGATGAGTCATGTTGCCCACAGGCACAAGCGCTTAGCAACAGTGGGTATTTTTAAAAATAAGCTTGACACAACAAACGTCTGGGTGAGATGGTTGAAAGCCATGAGAGGAATGGACTGAAAATCAATCAGTGATGGGTGGATGTGACCTCGAGAGATACAGGCAGTTCATTGGAGAGAATTAGGAAGGACACAGCTCAGGGCAGAGGACTCATCTACATTTACTGAGCACTTACTATGCCCAAGGCCCTCTGGGAAATTCAATAGAAACTTTACTTCATTTCTTGTCTGCAGACTCTTATGACCTAATAATCAGACAGTAAATATCCAAAACATGAAGTCTAACAGATGCCATGGAGACAAATGAACTATTATTACACAACTCCAGACATCTGGAGATGGGGAAAGCAGTGATGGGTTAGGAAGACATCATGGAGAAAAGTCTTGAGATTTTTGAGATTCAGGGCATGGCCTGCTGCAAGCTGTGTTATCAGTGATGATGTTGTCTTTCCCCGTCTCCCCAACAACAAGCAGGTTAACAAAGACAAACATGGGAATGACCTCACACACACATGCAGACACATACACATCACTACTTAAGTACTTGCAAGAGACACAAAGGCTCAATGACACAATTGGATAAGAGGTTGGTTTTGTACATCAACCCTCTCCCTGACAACCACCCCCCTCCCCCCTCCCCCCAGGCTTGATTCCCACACCCTTGCTAACTACAGAAGCACCTCCATCCCTGTGGACACATTCATCGCTTCCCCGGATACTTGCTCTCATCCATCCATCCCTTCATTCATAAGCAGTATCGCACCACTGCTTTCCCGGCTCCACAACCTGTGTACAGAAGGGCCGAATATATTTTCTGTGAAGCTCAGGCCTTTATGCAGAACCATTTTCATCTTCTGGTGAGAGGCTAGAGTAACCAAGTGTTGTTAGAATTCTTCCCATTGTGCCTTTTTTCTTGAATGATGACATTTATACAAAGAATTTGACAGAGACATCAAAAGCGCTCATTCATATTTGGGGAGGGATTCATATTTGCGAAGTTACCAGAATAACTTCTCAGTGTAGATGAGGCAGATTTATTATTATTATTTTTAAAGATGTGTATATAGTAGAGGAAGATAAATTATGCAGTGTCAAGATAGCTAAGAATGTTGTAGTTTGGGGGGAAATGAGACAAAGTACAGTTAAGGATTATGGAATCCTTACAACTTTCCAGTTATGTTGAGATTGCTCTTTGCTTATTTGCCGTATTTAATCCCTGCCAAGATCTCTATGACCATTGGTACTTTTCAGATAAGAAAATCAAAACCCAAAGAAGTTAACTAACTTGCTCAGTTAAGGTCACTGGGTCCATTAGGTGATGGTTGAGACTGCAGAGTCAACACTGGAGGGTGTGGTGTTAAGGACAAAAGCGGTGAGGGTGGGTTTTCCCATACTTCGGGAGAATAATCTATGTATTGAAGGAGGCATTCTTTCATACACATCAGTAGGTTTTGTTCAGGTACGCAAGCTGGAAACAGAATTTAATACCTGTGTAACTTCTAGTTACTAGAGGGAGTGGCAAGGAGAAATCTTACAGAAAAATTCTACCTTCAAATACCTTTGCCTCTAACAAGCTGGAAACCCTAAAGCAGAGGAAGTCAACAGCCCAGTCTGGAACTCGGGAATCCACAGAGCGGAAAGACCGGAAAAGCCCGGTGCTCCATCAGTCCAGCAGGTCAGGTACGCGGAGGCAAAGACCTTTGGCGCGATGAGATGCTGGCTTAGAAAGGCCCTCCGCCTTTACGCACGGTCCCCACGCTCCGGGGCATGGAGCCCAGATTCCGGGAGCCCGGATCTGGTCCGAGGCGGCCCGGCCCGGTTCTGTTTCTATCGCCGCGCTAAGAGTGTTTTGGCTCCCCCATTCCTCTCCCAGCTTGCGGATCTTTGTGCCCCCGGAATGTCGGCATCGGGGTCCCCGTCTTCTGGCCGCCACCGAACCGAGGCCGCTGCGTTCCTCCTGGCGGCCTGGGGTCCGGGCGGTCCTGGGGGAGCCGGGGGTCCCCGCGGGCCTCGCGCGGGCGGCAGGGGGCGCTGCGCGCCGGGCGGGGCGGGGGCCGAGCCCGTGCGCCCCGCGTCTTTGTGCCGCGCGGCGCCGCCGCCCAGTCTCCCCCCGCGGGCCGCGCGCCCCGGCTGGAGGGCGGGCGGGAATAAAGGGCGGCTCCGCGCGGGGCGGCGCGGACAGCCGGCCTCAGACCGCGGACCTCGGCGCTCGGAGCCTCGCTCGCAGCCGAGCAGGAGCGGCGGCCCCCACCTCCGGGGCCCCGGACGCGCGGGACCAGGTGGGTGACGCGCGGCCCCTTTGTGTCGGCCTCGCCGGGGCGGGCGCGGCCGAGGGCCCCGGGGGAGGTGGCCGTGCTGAGCGGATCCGGCAGCAGCGACGGCCAATCCATCCCCGCCAGGGGCCCCTCCCCGGCCCTGCCCCTGGGTGGCCCGGGTGCCGCCGCGTCCCGGCGCTCCGGCGGGTCCCGGGGGCGGCGGGGGTGGCCCATGGGGTCTGGCCGGGGCCATCCGGCGGGGCGCGGGCAGGCGGCGGCCAGGTCAGCCCGGCCGCGGTGGGCCGGCGCCGCGTCCTCCGCGGTGCACATCCCGGCGCCCATGACCGCGGCCGCCCGCGTCCCTCCAAGCCTTCCCCTCCCCAGGGGCGCGCAGAAAGTTCTCTGCCACCCCAGTTCCCCCATCCTACCCTCCGGCAGGCTCCCCAGTTCCCCTGCACTGTCCTGGGCACCCAGCTCTGGGCCTCCTGCGAATCTGGGCTATCAGGTCCCGAGGAGGAAGGGGTTACTCACTGCGCCCTCATGATCTCGTGGATGTCCAGCTCCAAAAGTTCTCTCTCCCTGCCCTCTTCCCAGTGAACAGGCACATCATCATAAAAAGCCCAGTCAACAAATAGCCTATGCTGGCCTCCTGCCAGGCCTCAAGGCTGGGTGAGGGAGCCCCAGGGGACTATTCCCAGGGGGTCCTGCCACCCCCACCCCTCGTGGGGTGAGGGGGATCTGGTCTCCGAACTGGAAACAGACTCACTTCTTGCTTTGATGGTGGGAAGGAAGCCCTTTCCCAGGAGTGGGGCCTGGGCATCTGATAAAGGACGCATTCCAGGCAATCTGGCTGGGGGGCAGGGCAGATAAGCCCTGTGGATAAAGAAAGTGTGAGACCCAGAGAGCGAGGTGAGGACCGCCTGCCTGGGAGCCCTGGGAGTTCCCAGGGCAGAGAGGCCGGGGAAGGAGGGTGTGGACTGCTAGTGAAGAGGGAATTGAGTCAGAGCTTGGAGGTAGGACAGGTTCTGGGTGGCCAGAGGGAACTGGCCAGCGGAGGAAAGAAGGGACACAGGTGTGCGTCTTGACCTTTCCCTCGGACCTGCAGCTCCCGTGCTCCTTGGACGTGGTCCCTCTGGGATGGTGCCCAGAGCAGGTTCTCAGGAAAGGGAACCGAGATCCCCCTTTCCTGGTGTTCTAAAGGTTCCTAGTGCCTTTTCAGATCTTACTTTTATTATTTTCTAGAGTGCAAACGAATTATGACTAGTGTGGTTAGATGAGGGTAGATGGTGAAATGTTGAATTCCAGGCCAACTTACGGCCTTGATCCTGTGGCAGTGGAAGTCATCGATGGTTCTGGATGGTTCAGAGAGTGGGCTAGGCCCCCACTGAGGGTGGGGAAGGCAGCTGTGAGGGGTGGGAAGTGTGGCTTTTAGTCCCCCTGGTACTTCTCATCAAAGGTCAGGCAGGGCTTGAGAACCTCAGGAAAAAGCAAGATGCAAATGGCCTAATTTTAATGGGAGGGGAGTTTTCGAGATCCAGCACCATTGGAGTTTGGAAGTTTGTGTATAAAGAAGCTCTGGTTCAAATGTCAGGATCCTTGGAAGCGAAATGGATGAACCAGTCAGATGCTGAGTGTAGAGCTATGGCCAGTGGATGATGGTGTGGGCTCCCATGGGCCTGGAAAATGGGGGTGTTGAGACCTGCATGAACACTTTCAAACGCCTGTGTTTTATAAGCCTGTCCAGTGCCCTGGTTTTAATCAAGGGCGCTTATCGCACCCAGATCCTCGCCCGAGTACAGGGCTTGGCCTGTGGACTCCATGTGGTTTGGGACTCGGAAGGGACCTCCCACACTTCAGTGGAAGCTGCTGGTGTCCAGCGGGGTGAACGTGCCGTTCGGCCAGACGCCGGGAGCCACGTCGCCTGTGTTTTCCACTGTGGTTCATGGTTTGGCCCCACCGCCTTCTTTTGTGCAAATTTCACTTTCCTCTTAGGAGCCTCTGTCTCTCTGGTGTGGAGACAGGGAAAGTCTGTCCACACGGAGAGTGAGCATCACAGAGCTCACTGGTCATCACAGATCCCCAGCCCAGCCGCCCATTGTGACTGAGGACTCTGTGGACTGGAGGGGGACGGTCAGGGGCCCGGCCACAAACAGGGCTGTGGCCAGCTTGGGCCCAGCACCAGCCCTCCTGATGGTCTGCTGTTCTTTCTCTGGCTCCATGATTAAACTGGGAGGATGGAGATGTGTCCACTGCCCTTGGGGTCTGCTGGTCTGGAGCCACTCTTCCAGAGGATCTGGCCAAGCGAGGACCTGCCCTGGGTCCCTGGGGTGTGGACAGTCAAGGGCAGCCAGGAGTGAGCAGAATGGAATGCTCCGACGGAAGATGGACCCTGTCCACACTCACTTGGGGGAGTTTCCTACCTTCGAGGACCGAGGACTGAGTTGAAGATTCTTTCCTTTGAGATGAAAGAGTCATCCGAGGTCGTCATTTCTGGAAGCGGTCTCCTCTCTCCTTTGTTTCTGCATCACTGACACACATGGATACCTTTTCTTAATTAGATGAAGAAATTAAATGGAAGCAACTGTTCGTATACCTGCTGGGGAGTTCGGCTGAAGGACAGAGCTTGTCCAACTTTCTGACCCAGCTCTGTGACCTTGAGCAAGTGTCTTAACTACCTTGTGTGGTCCCAGTTTCCTCCCACTGTGAAACTAAGATGTTGGTCTAAATGATCGTCAAGATCCGGATATAAGAATGTGCTGCTTTAAAGGTCTCTTCCAGGAGCATCAGTGTTGACAATGCAACCATTTTTAAGAAATTTTGCAAGATAAAAAATTACATATATATAAATATTTATACACATGTATCAGTTTCAGAACAATGGTTTTCCTCAGAGATGATAAGTTGAGAGATGGGGCTTTGAAGAGGGTCATTCCTTGATGATGAGAGTCTGTATCTTCCTTCTTTCCTGGAGTCGAAAGCCTGGATCTGATGGAGTTTCCTGATTAGTAGGTGCAGAGAGAGCAGGGCTTTCTCTGAGGAGCAAACTGATGAGCTGGATGCAGTGTTAGGAGAAAAATAAGTTCCTGGATGGCGCAATGAACCAAGCCAACTAGGTGAAATGCAGTCTCTTGGGGTCTGACTTTGGAAAGCCAGGAAGCAGTGGATGTTCATTTAGCCTTTCCATCACCAGGTGCTGATGGGAAGTGCTCTGAGTGCTGTGGACCTAGTTCTCAGGCGGCCCGTAGGAAGGACAGGCATCACTACCTTCCCTGATCTTCAGGGGAGGGAAGAGGCTTAAGGAGCCCTTATGGCGTCCAAGGCCAGGCACCCGGTACATGGCTAAAGCTGGCGTGGAACTCAGAGCCCCTTGGAAAAAAGGTATATTCCCTGTCCTTGAGGAGGCTATGGTCTGGGGGCTGGGAAGCAGCCAGTCACAGATTGTTCTAGTGCTGGGCTTGGTACACACAGTTCCGGGGGTTATGGTGAGGAGTTTGCCTGCTGGAGCTGGGAAGGCAGGCTGGGTCTTGAGGATGAGTCCCTGTTGGCAGGCAGATGAGGTCAGGGTCACAGGCTGGGCCCGGGAGCAGCAAGAAGCTGCCTGGCGGGTGCAGGGAACCTCGGGCTGGTGTAGTGGGGCTGTGATGGATTTGTCCTGCTGAAGGGTGACCCTGTCTCTGAATCCTGCTCAAAGCAAGACCCCCAGCTGCAGCAGCATTGCTGTCACTTCTGGAACCTTCTGGTTGGTCCCACCAGCGTGAGTTCTTTGGTCTTAATGCCTCTGACTCTTTTTGTCTCTCTCCTGCCCCCACCCCCCACCCTCGCCAGTTTGCTTGTAGAGAAGAGGGTGTCCCGGGAAGATGAGAGGAAGCCCAGCTGCAGCCCAGGGTCTGCTCGCTCTGTCTGCAGGGTCACCTGAGCAAGGCTGCCGTGATTCCCCAGGCGGTGGCAGCCCGACCTGGTGGGCAAGCACCGAGCTGGAAGTGCGGCCCCCGGAAGGATGTCAGCACGGCTGGGGTCACCCCCTGTTCTTGCCAGCTCCGCCCTGCAGGCCAGGACACGGCAGAGCTGCTGGGTCAGGGGGTTACAAACCAAAATACTGACTCTGTCTCTCAGGCTAGGTTATCGGTTAAACAGGGCTTCAAGTCTGTTCTTGGAACGCCTTCCGCACAGTGGTTGACCTGGGACATATTTTAGTTTCCAAAGGGTCAGTTTTCAAGCAGTCCTTTGAAACAGGGCATGTTTGATCTAAAGGTGATCTGGAGGGAGGTGGGGCTGTGCCAGCTGCACCCAAGGAGCAGCAGAGACTGCCTCTCGGATTCCCACTGACCTGCTAGCCTCACAGGCAGGCAGGGGGCCGTTCCGTGATGCTCTGTCTCTGCCTCCGGGAAGTGGTACCCGGATGGCGGCAGGTGATGTGTGTGTCCTGCTACCCACCCTCCATGGTTGGCTCCTCTGCAGTTGCTCCGTCATTCCAGAGTGGCCTCGCCAGCCAGCCACTGCGGCCCCCCTCCCTGGTGAGGCTTGTCCACACTGCCTGCAGGAGGGGTAGCCTGCAGGACAGAGAGGCTCTTTGCTCCCCTGGCTCATGGATGGAAAGTGTGCAGACCTCTGTGTTAGGGGCCTCTTCCACCTGAAGATAAATCATCTCTTCGGTGGGTGTCCTGAAGCCAGAATTATTCAGGCGTGTGTCACATCCCAGGAGAGTCTTTGTTCCTTCTCTGTGGTGTCTCTCCCCCACTCCCCGCCCCCCTTCAGGCTCACCACTGACCCAGAAAGTTGACAGCTTTCTGGCTGAGACTCCGCTGCTCATGAAGTCACAGCTGTGCCTCTGGATCGAGGCTCCATTAGTTTCTTCTGGGTTCCAGCCCGTCTTTCCACGCTGATCTCTTCACAGCCTCCACACTTCTCAGCCTCCACGCTTAGACCCTGAAACAGTCTTCCTCCGCCTCCAGGTGTCAAATTCCTAATGATCCTTCCAGGCTCCACAGGCATGTTGCGTTTTTCTTAAAGCTGCGGGATCACTGGTGTGGGGGCTGTGGAGGCTGAGTCCTCCAGCAGTGGCATCTTACAGAGCAGGGAATGCAGGCCTGGGAGCCCCATCAGGCCCCTTCCCTTCCCAGCCCGAGCATCTTTCTCCTCCCGTGAGCCGGGAGCCTCTTCTCTGCCAGGTGTTTCTACAGTGACTTTTTTCAGAACCTGCAATTGCACTTAGGCCTCTCTAATTTTTCTGTAACTTTATCCTTCCTTTTACTAAATTGCAAGCCCTACAAATGTAGGGACCTATTCATTTCAACATTCCCTCAGTGCCCGTCATGGTTTCTCTCAATGCATTTTTGCTCCGT